TGAACCGATTTCAAGCTAAATATAATTTCCAAGAATAACAATGAAGTGCAGAATAATAAGGAAATGTGTATACTACATTATTAGCAGGAAGTAAACTGGAAATGTAGTAAAAGTGTTGGCAAGGTTGCATACTAACATAACTGACATAGGTTAAGAAAAGCAAATCTCTGATATAAATAGCATGTACACGCTCACAATAGTTATTTATATAACAAGAGCGCGAAGTTCAATTTCGCGCATTGAGACTGAAGGTATTTTGACGAGGCGAAGCCGAGTTAAAATATCAGTCAAATGCGCGAAATAACTTCGCGCTAGCGTTATATACAATATTTTTTCTACAACTGAACCGATTGTTAATTAAATTGCTGTTTAAGTTCAACTTTGTTCCGTGCGCGAAATATTTTTTTTCACTGTTGACGATTTCGCGCACGTTGTCAAGAGCAACCTTACTTATTAATTAACCGATTAAAAATCTAGTACTGCGCGTTTCGAAATCCGTCAGAAAATGACAGGTTTTTTTGACAGTTGTAGAAAATAAATATTATCTGTCGGTAACGTACCGGGTTTGAGATATACGATAATCCCCGACCGAATTTTATCTCGTGTAAGATTTGCTTGGGTGAGCCTGAGGATTTACAACCCTAATGCTACACTCTTGTTGCAACCCCCGTTGCATCCTACGTGTCCTGTTAAGTAGACCACATTAAAGCATTAGACAATTTAGCCCAGTAGATTCCATTTCCTCCTTGGCAGAATTGGCGATATGAATACAACATTCTGGTGGGTGATAAATTAATACTCCAAATAGTACCTGTATTTATTTATTTATTCATGTTAGGGAATTTTCCTATAATATTCGGCTTGATCAGAAGTCTCCCTAAAATCACCCGATATATTTTTCCATTCTCAGTTAATTTTACACTTCCGTAGCTTACAAAACTTGAAAAATAACCATTATGATCCTGCATGAACAAATTAACTAATGATATCAGACTAATTTTGACTTCAAAAATGTTTTCTACGGGACAAATTAGGCAACATGACTTTTGTGGCAATGTAGAGTATCCTTTAAATTCGTTTCACTCACCAAAATTGTATGTTTATATCGACAATTCGCATCTAGTTACAATGGTTAGACTATATTGTGGTTTAAGTACTGTATATTGTAGAAAAACTGCGCCAACATGGTGCATTAAACCGGAAACGAGTATTCTCCGTATGTGTTACATTGCTTAATTGCTTTTCGTTTATAATTACATGAGCGTTTGATCCCTCTGGAATGCTTTAGACTTGAAGATCGACAATACGTAATGAAATGCCACATACACCACAAGGTAGTGTCTAAAATGTAGCGCGCTCTAATACACACTGCCAACGATAGCAAAAGAATTATTCACTTAATTGGCTGATTCCGCTTTATTATCAATAATAGTGACGCGAGAATTCTACGACTCTTGCCAATTTGATGAGCTATGTTCCGTAATGATTTACTAGAATTGTTACGATTAATTTCTCGAGTATTATAATTTGACTTGATGAAATTCTCTATATTTAGAGGTAGAGATTAAACCCAAGTTAGAGATTTAGTCGGAATATTACGTTAACGGATACATTTACAATTTGCCAATTAATCTTAAATTACTGTCAGAGGTGCATAACGATTGTAAAAGATTGAATGACAAAAGGAATAATTTTGTTTCTAATAAGTTATTAACACGTTGACTGCGGTAGCTTAAAACAAGAACTTGCCGTTGATGCGTTACATATCGCCGGGGTATTGTAATGTAACTTTACCATAGTGCTATACATACCGCCGGCGATATGTAGACAACTGGTCAAGTAAGCCCCATCTAGTTTACTTGTGCGTAAATTTTTGAGTTCCGCAGCGTGGGGACCTGTAAGCTAACACTATTATTTATTTAATTCTTGAACCGTACATATCTCCGGCGACTGGTACCGCAAGAAAGTGAAGAAGACTGTATAACCCTAAAATTATGCAATCAACTCGAATAAAAAACATTACAACGAACACTATTTTCTGAAAATTGAGGGATATTTATTTATTCCATGTTAATATTAATATTATTATTTGTGATTAGTATTGAAACATGGAAGATAGTACCCAGGTTGGCCTGGACAAACATTACAATAACTAGACCGAAACTAGATCGTTAAAACTAACGAAATGTTTACGGAATACAAAGATGATGCAACTTGCGCAATTCTGTCATGCAGTATGATGCAATAACCTTAGAAGTAGCTGCAAAACTGTACATATCTCCGGGGGCATGTGCCGCACACAATTAAATTTGTATTAGTCCTGTGCGTTACATGTCCCCGGAGATATGTACCAAAAAATTCAGTGGCCTTGACTATGCAAAGCACTACCATAAAAAAGCTATACGTAAAACTTATATACGTTAAAAATCAAGGAAGATATGGCTTTCGCACACAACGAATGTTTGGTAAAAGTTCGCTTGGTCACCACGGAAAGAAACCCACATATCCCCGAGGATATGTAACGCAGTCAACGTGTTAATGTTATAGTACCTACATAATTATAACAGGATCAATTAACGGTCTAAATTCGTATGGATTTGCGATGTAACCTAATGTACACATTGGGTTATATCGCTTTCTATTGCAGCCTCGGGGCTCTTATACTTTTAGGTGTAAGAAATTAATATTCGCGATGATGGAATGAAACACACGAGCTACTTTTGAGCTAACAAGAAGAAAATTACCCCTCCCGATTTAAGCGGAGTGCAGATTAAAAATGAAATCTCGCTTTTTGGTTAGGCCGTGAAACTATTTTTTATTTTTTAAAAATCCGGTGACGAATTGTGCTATTGCGTGATTATTCAGAGAAGGCATTTATTGAACGCGGTACTATAAATTAAATATTCATTCGAATAAATTGTGTAAGTGAACGATTTCGGTTATACGGTCGAGAGCTACTTTAGATCACGCGCTCATAAATGACCAAGTTTAATTAACCTAGTTAAAGACAATTATTTATCCGATCATACAACTTTAACATAAATTCTCACGTGTTGAACTGAGAGGTACGCAGATGAAAGGAATATGTTATTAGATTATAGTGTAAGAAACAGATCTCACGTGCAATAAGAAAATTTTAAAGCTCGGGCGAATCTTGACTAGATCCAATATTCTAGTCATTTGACAAGCTTATAATTTTGTAACGTGCCCAATACAAATTAGTGTTCCACTAGTGCCTTCTAGAAATACGAAGCTTGATTTTAGATTAGTTAATAATGTATATTATTGAAGGTTTCATTAAAATTCATTCCTCTATCCAGCGTGGACTTGATATTGATTATCCCCTTTCGTCAAATTGAGGTTACATACGCAGCACTCTTTTCAGGGGTTCGATCAAGTTGCGTAATTTATTTACCCCTAAATCGATTTGTTTAATTATCTGAGAATTATTGCCACATTCGCAAATGTTTATAAATATTGCGCGAGATGGGATGTATATTTTATGCGATACGTAATGAAATATGTATTGCTACAGTGAACTCAATCGTTTAGAATTTATTCGGATATTTCTCATTGCCTTATTGCTGTTGCATCATCGTAGTGACGAGGGTTCAAGTCCAGTCGTAGTCATAATTTATGAATAAATTCTAATCGGCACATAGGTTTAAACCTTTCCGTAAATGACGTACCTATGTCAAAATACACGACAGAATGCACAAATCGAGTATTCAAAGTTAGATCGACGGCGTATTATTTATATCTGTATTCCAGAGTCCAGATTTTTCCCCAAAAAAAGCAACTAAGTTTCTAGAAGTTTATTTTTTTGGTAAAACTATTACAGGGGCTAAAATTACCGTTGAATCTGAGAAGGATAAAGACTTCGGACCGGTATCCAGGGACTTTAATTCCTTTTTAAATTCCTCAAATGTGCAAGGTTGGCGGGGTGAGTATCGGGATTCTTATACAGGGTGACAATTTGAAAACTTACCACCCCCCATATCTTAGTAAATAAACGAGATATTTAAAAAAATCAAAATCCGTTTCGGTAATTCGGAGGGGGAACCACAATGACATAGTTGGCGACGCACCCCCTCACACCCCCTGCGCCCCAGCCACCCCAACTTTTAAATCTTAAATAGTGACCCCCCATGTGTGATACGTCGTTGGAAAGCTCTGAAAAAAATGCTTTCCAACCATACCAAATAGCATTACATTTAGGTTAGTAATTATCGTGCAAATCAAAAAATAAACATGGAAAATCGTATTTAACTTGAACTTCCAAAGCCGACTCGACAGCAACTCATTTTTGATCGCCAGTTATAAACTATTCTCAAACTCTTGTCGAACCTTTTCAAATGTTGGTTTTACAATATTTCGACATTCTTGAATTATTCTCTGTCTTAGTTCGTCTATGTTCGCCGGTTGCGTTTTAAATACGACAGATTTCAAATGTATCATATTAAGTTTATTTTTTGATTTGCACGATAATTACTAACCTAAATGTAATGCTATTTGGTATGGTTGGAAAGCATTTTTTCAGAGCTTTCCAACGACGTATCACACATGGGAGGTCACTATTTAAGATTTAAAAGTTGGGGTGGCTGGGGCGCAGGGGGTTGGAGGGGGTGCGTCGCCAACTATGTCATTGTGATTCCCCCTCCGAATTACCGAAACGGATTTTGATTTTTTTAAATATCTCGTTTATTTACTAAGATATGGGGGGTGGTAAATTTTCAAATTGTCACCCTGTATACTAGCAACACGAAGAAAAAGGGAAAAGTAGTGAAAGTAAACCAGTGTAGCGTTCTAAATTTGCAGAAATTGTGGATTATGTCTATGAACAATTTATTCTTTTTTGAATGAGGCGGGAACGGTTGGGTGGTGTGGCCGATGGAGGACACTGTGTCTGATGTGGGAGCACATGCGTGTATACACAACTTGTGATGGGAGGGATTTTTGAGCGGGACCAAGAAAAAGGGCGAGTGGCGGTCGTGGAAAAAGAAACGTTCCCACGGACATAATAATTTACGTTGTGATTCGAGACTTATTTAAGTCAGTGGGGCTGGGTAGCGAGAATAACGCGTGAGTTACTGAATGTAAAATTAATTTATTGACAGTAAATAATTTTAGGATTTTGGTTACCTACCTATACTACGTGCAATTATTCCGGTACAAACCTAATTAGGCAATAACTTAATCTACATTTCAATGGTTGTCTAAAATTCTTTCAAGAGCCGTTTGTCACCTTAAGTAAGCTATTAATTTGGAATATTCGTCATATTAGCGTACGCGTTACCTTTTAGGGCTCTTACCCCTAAGTACTGGAAATTGGAAAAAATATATAGTAGCCGCCCCTGACGTCACGTGGGACGCAAATTTATTACCTGCACAAGTAACTGCGGAATACCAAGCGCTGTTCCTGATGATAAGATTTTAATTCTATGGTGATAAGCCGCCATCCCACCGTCCACCTGTATGTACGTGCTGTCCATGTGGATAATGGTTCACACAATGCTCTGAGGTTTGAGATAACAAAATTTGAAAGGAGATGTCAAGTTTATTTGTTTAAATTAAGCATATTTGTCTATTATTAATTGTCCATCCTAGAATTAATTGATAATGTTGTGCTGTCCTTAAATTGTCAATTGTATTTAGAGTTATCAGTCCAATATTGAAGTCCGTTGAATGATCATTCATCTGAAACACAAGAATTACGTTATCGATATCATCGTCAAGTTATACTTACCTACCGAGTCAATTACCTGTTTAAATAAATTAATAATAGGATCGATTTTTGCATTACGTTATGAGCTTGTCCGATTACCTGTCATTGGGCAAGTTGGTTTAAGACAGGTTGGCGCCCCCTTCAAACAACACTCAGTACAAGATCCACGACTCAGCTCCCAAATCTTTGAGCACTGTTAACCCTCATTATAGCCAACCAACAAAGGGAAAGTCATACCAGATACCAAAAGGGTGACTAAGAGATCCTTGTTCTGGTCTTGACAAGCTAATCAAATAAAGTACTTTAAAGGAATTAAACATAAAAAATAATTCGATTAGCCTTTTCTGAACAACACAAACAAACCAACAGGAGGGGTAGTGAATAGCGCGGCACATAAAATATTGCATAAGCGTCTGACACTGATCAGGCTAATCGTACACTAAAACTGTAACTAATACTCAATAAGAATGAATAATTTACATTAGCAAAAGTAAAATTTTGATCGACCACGTATTATTCTTACAACATTGGGTATTAAAGCATAAAAGTTACTTTCATGAAGCCTACTTTATGATGCACAATTCACAAATAACTAAATTTCTATTCATTGCAATCACAAAATCGGGTTGAATACCGTGAAGGTCAAATCTTCGGTAACGACAGAAAGGGATGTACGTAAAATCGGAGCAATTTTTAAGAACGATGATCTCCAAGTTTGCGCTTATAATTCAGGAACAATTCTACTAGTGTAGATAAACAAAATCTATGTAAGTAAGTCACAGTGTCACGTGATTAATTTCACTGGAATCTGCCGGTAAGATAGAAACTCATCTACAGCGTGTTTGGATTTATAATATGGCGATGGAACTTCCAAATGAACTTTCCTTGCTCAATGTTGATAAAATCCAAAATTATGCGCTTTCCACACAGAAATATCGGTGTAGAAAGTCTGAATCAAGTAGGTAATAATAAAGAAAAGAGTAATCCAGAAGTAAGAAGCCTAAAAAACTGATTATTCAAATTCGAGGGTTTCGTTACATACCGAAAACGGCCTAAAATATATGCGCAACAGCGTCGAAAGCAAAATAGTAACAGAAAAACTTCACTAAACTTAACCACAGCCACAATAAATTTCAAAAGGCAGACAAAAATGTCGAGCAACCAACGTGGCGTCTAGGTTCTTCTACAAGCAATAGTTGAATATCGCATTTTGTACAAAGAAGTGCGTGCACCGAGAAGACTGAAAAAGAAACTCCTGCACGATCTCCATCGGCCAAACAAAGAACTATTGTAATAGGAACCCTATAACACTTGGAACAAATTTACTACAGGAACAACTTATGTCATTAGAATTTCAAATTTACATTAGAGTTAATTAAGAGCACAAAGCGAAGATTACTTAAGCGGAAGTTGGAATTTGAAATTTTCCATTGGTAAGAAAAGATTGTTACAAATCTTCGTCCATACCTCCTTAATAGGCGTATTTCTTGAAATGGTGGAGGTATACCGCTGCCACGACTTCTTTGCGTTTAGGATCGCTCTACAGAAAATTGCTCCATTTTTTGGGAATGTAACTAAGTTTTCGGGATCAGGCTAAAAATTGAGACAAGTGGCTGAAATGGGTAAGTTCATATTGTGGAACAAGGTCGACAAGGTCCACTTATACCCTATATTATTATTATGTACCAACAGAGCTGCGCAGTATTCGATTTTGTAAATACTTTTTAGTATTCAAATCCTTTAAAGTATTCAAATCCTTTGTAATTAAATACTTTTATGGAAGCAGTATTTGTACTTGTGACTCAAATACTTTCACAAATATTTAGTATTCGAATACTTCGCAAGGTATTTGAATACTTTGAGAAGTATTCGCATACTTCGCATAGTATTTGAATACTTAACCTTCCTTTTTTACCAAAAATCGACTACACCAAAATTTCTCGGGAAAACATTTTTTCTTATTAATTTTGGTGCGTAGAATTCAAAACAATTCGTACTTTTCCGATTAGACTTCTCAATAAAAGTTATGGACTAGAAACCAATTTCGAAAGAAAATTCAAAGGGCTGTAACTTTTGAACTAGTTGCCCAATCTTGGAACTGTTTGAAATTATGGATTCTACAGGCCACATTCTATAAGAAAATTTTTTTTTTGGTCAATCTGAGACAATTTTTTTTTCATGGCTCAAAAAAAGGCAGTGTATAAACCTTCCTTTTTTACCAATAATCGACTACACCAAAATTTCTCGGGAAAACACACAATAGAGCCGGTTATTTTTGAGCGTTACACATGAAAAGTACAGAACTTTTATTGTTTTGCTTTTCCACATTGTAAAATTAGAAATGCATAATTTGTTATCTTTTAAGTGTAGCTTAGGTTTTGCTCTTTAAATCGCGTAGCAGAATTAATTAATTGATCAAAATCAAAGTAAAATTTCAAAAACAATTATAAATTAATTCAATTAAATCCGACCAATGCATTTTGAACGCTATCGTCAAAACTATTCCCTGATTAATGTAATGAAGTGTATTGCTGTTCCTCTTTTCATTTATTGTTCACTAGCTGCATGGGTAAGATGACAACCCCACTTATTTAGAACAAAAACTACTTTATGTGGGGTGCTTAAGTAATTAAATAATAATTAGCCAGGACTAAGTACTTTGATGGAGTATTGTTGGAGTAGGACAAGTACCTAATAAATTTACTTGTTATACATTTTGATGTCAAATAATTAGTTAGTAATTGGTGAACCCTTTGATACTTGCACCACAATGGTACCTATGCCGTCCTATTTTGCATAAATTGATTAGCAGATTTTATTAATACAAATTTATTGAAATTATACGATGTTTGTTCCCGTTTGCTATATGTGTAATTACAAAATAGTTGCTGACGTATATGACACCATAGGTAGAAACCTTTTTTTTCAATTTCAAATGTATTCCGGCATTTGTTTTCAATACCTTCGAATTACGAGACCGCATTTGGCAATCATCCATTTGACTAGTTCCTTTCACATATATTTTTGGTCCTTGTAGCTTTTCGTATATCTCTGCTGAAATATAAATCGCTCTTTGTACTTCCGCCGATCTTGTTTTACGTGCAGAAACAGGCATCGGTGATTCCTGTTATATTCCCGGTATCGTATTTCGTAGGAATTTTATATTTGTACGCGATGCATCCAAAAGACATATTAAATTATTCGTCGGCGCAATCCTTAAAGGATTCCAGAGTGCTCTTTGAATATAAACGAAATTGTAAAATCACCGTCTATCAATAACGCGTATACTGTCAAATGTAGAAATTATCCGCTTCGGTAATATGAGAAAGGAACGTATTTTGCGAAATTAAATTTAAGCATTTGGTGTTGAAACGGCAATGTTGGATGTAACAAATTTATATACGGCCAACGGCCTTAAATATGTATCTCTACATTTATTTAAATCAAATTCCCTTCGCCGGAAAGTGTTCCTCAAATGCCTCCGGTACGTCGAGAACGTAAGCAATTAAACTTAAATGCGCTAAATTAGATGTGCACAATAAGTTTTAAGATTGTCAACAACTCTCGTGCAAACGAGAACCTGCAGACTAGGAGAAGTGCATTTTGTGCTTGCAGATAATTTAGAAAATATAATCAGAGAAGCTAACAGTATTTCGTACATGGAATGGTAATTGGCACCTTTCACTCTGTTACACGAAAGGTTCCATTAGTTGTGCTTGAATGAACGTTAACGAGTCACAACTTTTTCTAATCTTGCTAAGGGATAGTTTTAATTAGTAAGCGTTGGACCATCCGAATGTGTAAGTAATATCCTTATTAAGCAGCACCAGGGTATTATTGAAAATTACCTATTTTTAGCAGTAATTTTCAATCACTTATTAAGTGAAAAGTTACCAACTTCTGGATAAGTTCGCTCGTTTACATGATTCATTTTCATGAGAAGCTTGGCAACTGTTTGTAAACGTTGGATTTCCAATACGGGGGTTGGGTAGGAGTTTGCATGAAGTGTCCAGAGAATCAAATTTGCGGGAAGTATTACTATTATGCTGGGGGAGAAAATTTAGAGTGAAATTCACGGCGACAAGTTATCACAAAACTTGTTTCTGAATTCATTAACACACCACCCAAAATGGAACCACGCATAGTTTTGAACTTAATTGTAAATGTTTAGTCATTTTTATCAATTTTCCGTGGCACGCTAACCCTACCATTCATAAAAGTCCGTGAAATTGACAGTGCCCATTTAAGAGAATACAACATTTTTGTGCTATTTGCTATTGCTGCCAATTAAAATTTTTGTTCTACTTAATTGATAGAGATATGTTAAAAAAATACTTAGATACAGCCCTTAGAAATACACAAGAAAAATTTTTAAATAAATACAAGGTAAATTCTTTTCAATTAAGATTAATTAATTGAATTAGAGATATATTTGCCAGTAGCCTTATAATCATAATATAAAGACATTGCAATGTTACGTTTCAATTTATTGGGATTAATTAAAACGGCTTACGCGTCCGGATGTCAATTATTGTTAATTGAATTAAGTTGCCAAAACATGCGTTCTTTTAACTAATTTTGAACTATACTACAGTTGACAGACGTCAAAAAAAACCTCGACCTTGGAATTTTTTAATGATTCTTTTAGACTCATAATTATAATTTTCCATTTAAAAAATGAGTTTCGGTCTAATAACTGTTGCCTGGCCTGCACCCGTATTCGCATTCATAACATTTTTCTGTACCTCTTTTTGACTAAGAAGATATAGGATGGTTCCGATATTGCCATTTGCTAACAATTACTGAGATA